CAAGGTCACCATGGAAAAGAACAAGGTCAGAACTGCGAGCCTTGTCTCAAAAATGCTCGCTATCATTTGCATTGATGTTTCGTAACAATATATAACATTGCGTCCGATTGCTTGAGCTTGCAGCTGGATCAATATACACATCCAAACAAAATAGTTCCAAATCGATCGACATCAATGGATTGAAGGTGCTCGGAGTTCTTGCCTCTCGAGACCACGTACAAGTGACTTAGATGTACTTCAGATGTGTCATCATGACTGTGTATTGGATGTACATGCGATTGCACTCATGAATGCACGGAAAAGTTCTGTGGTGTGTCAACACCGCTGGTCAGTGTATGGAATGAGGCATTTGCTGAAGGAGTCCAAGGCCAAGGGTGGCAAGGGTTCCAAGAAGAAGCGTGAGAAGGGAGGGAAGACCAAGGGTACCAAGAGTGCCAAGGCAAAGGCCAAGGCAAAAGGTGCTCCCAAAAAGGGAGCTCCCACTGAGAAAACTCCGCCCAAGCGAGTCAGGGGCAAAGCGCCTCCAGCTCCTTCCCGCGAGGATGCTTCTGTGCCAGGGCCAAAGCGCCTCAGAAAGCGGGCGAAGGGGCTGAAGAATGCCGATGCCTGAACACCCATGGCAGGAGTGGCAAAAGGTTTCATATATCGCTCAAAAATAAACTCAGTTTGTTTCAGGTACATGACTGCATACCAAACCAAAGAACCTTCTTTCACTGCCACGTTGCCTGGGTATAGCGATATTGTGGGGATCTGAGGACTTATACTCGTGTGGCGAACCACACGTGTATGGTAGAAACCTCGGAAATGGTTGGATTTGATGCAATTCAATTTGGGGAAGTTATCATCATCTGCTGGAGCCCAGTGACAACATTCTGGTGCCCGTCCGAACTCTTGCATGGATGTGTGGCTTTAGCCACAACTCTGCGAGAAAAAAGCTGTGTGCTCGTCAGGGTTCAGTGTGAGCTTCTATATAGTTTGCATAAGCCTGCTTGGTTGCAAGTGCATTCGTTGGGTTGAGCAACCCCAATCATGCAACCCTGGGTTTTGTGATCCAGCCCCTTGCCCGGCTTCTTGCCAGGTCCTTCCCACAAGGCCTGGCAACTGGCTTGGAGATATGGGCGCGGAGATGCTTGGCATTCCATGGCTGCCCTGCTGGCCAAACATACCAACAGCCTAATTTAAGAACCTTTGTTGAAGATATGGTGGAACTTCTGCAATTTGTTTTGGAAGCTTGATTGAACTTCCATATCATCATGGTTTGAAGCGTGAGTGAGGGTGGACTGGTTTATATATATATATATATATTATATAGTTTGAGGACCTGGTAGCTATGCCTATGAAGATTCCCGGCTGCATTGCTTAGGATCCTTCCAGGGAGATTCTCAAGTTTGCTACTGCTTCGTGCCGAGATGATGATGAGGAGGGCCGATCGACCGGCCGCTGTCCAGTTTTGAGCGCCCTCGCCAACAAGAACCCTAAGAAGTCCGATCCTTCTCGCTATTTGATGGTTTGGTTTTCATGCATGCAACCCTACAGTCTTGGAGATGTTCACCTGTACTGGTTCCTTGGGATATTCGATATTTACATGAATAAAGCTCATGTTGCATGTGAATTGAGTTCATGATCTCGTACGGCCTTGCCATATGCAACGATTGCACATGCAGTGCCAATCGCTTGTCCTATAATTGCGCTTGCATTCCCCTGCCAACTCAACAAAACATATAAGGAAGAGTTGGTCTACAAAGTCTTCACCAAGTACAAGCTCCTATACCCTATCCCCATCACTGGTGCAAATGAAAGTCCCTTGAATGGACTTCCGTGGCTGAAGCCTGGTGACTCTTTGAGAGTGATGGCTGTACGGAACGACTTAGCGCATCTACTCGGAGGTTTCTCAACCATGGCTGAAGCAGAGCAAATGCTTGTTACTTTTTGGACCCGTTATAGAGCTGTCTTTCCACAGTTCCAGCTGTTCTCAGAAGTTCATGATGGCCGGAAACAATTGAAAGATTGCATTCCATTGTATATTCATGGAGACGAAGGTGTCACCTACAAGAAACGAGGAGTCCTTATCATGTCCTATCAATCACCACTGGGATTTGGAACTTCGAGGAGGCCCCAGGAAATGTCACTGAATTTGGAGAACATGGGTGAATCGGGCTTGCCTCTCAATTTTCTGAAATGTGGCATGTACACTCGGATCTTGATGGTCCTTTGCCCCAAGGCTGTGCAGTCCAAATATCTTGGTTTGGGGATGGGATGGGCTGGGTTGCATTGCTCCATATGTAGCACACTCCTGTCAAAGAACTTTTAACACATGCATGCGTGATAATTCATGCAACACACATGCGGCATACATGCAATGACCCTGTGAGGACATGTACAAAGATGATCCCCGAGTTTGGAACGCCATTATGAACAACATTGCTTCTGAATTTCAAGTTCTGGAACGGGACGGTGTAGAGCTTGAAAGGAATGGAAGAGTGTATCCAATTATTCTGGGCAACAAGGGCGATTGGAGCTATCTTGTAACTTGCCAGATGTTTCAATTCGATTTATACCCCATGGATTTGGGTTTGGGGTTCAGTGAGGTTTCTTCTCATGTGTGTGTGTGTGTGCGCGCTCCTGTCACCATATGTCCAGGTATCGTCAGGAAACCTGGAGAGGTCTTACCGAAGAGCGCCAAAGGGTGCTGGGGAGGAGCGGGCAGCAGAAGGCGCTGGTATTTGCCATTTGTGCATGTGCGGGCAAGGAAGCATTGAATGGGAGAACCTGCTTCTTGGTGTGAATTGGCGGGTGGTTTGTGTGTGTGGGCCATTACATTTTGTACACCTTTTTGTGCCTTTCAAGTTCCATGGCAATGTTCGATACAGTTCAGGGCTGTATTCATATCCAGCCTACTGACTGGCAATCCACCTGGGTAAAAATATCTTGTCTTTATTGGCAGCCCTCGCTCTCCCTTCTTTTTGCATGCATAGATGCCCCAATGTATGTCAAGGCGTGCTGCTGAAGTGGCAATGAAGGCATCGCACCATGAAGAGATTGAGTTGCCCTGGACCAAGGAGAGTGTGTTCACGAAGAAACTTTATCATGACAGTTCCATCAATGGCCGACAAAGGTTCTATAAGTTCGATCTGTGGCATTGCTGGCATCTCGGGGCTGGAAAACATTGGTGTGGATGCGGACTGTTGCTGATATGTCAAGTTGTTCCCGGGAGCAATGCTGACCTTCGGTTCGCCTACGTCAGTCAAAAATATTTGGAATTTTGCAAGAACAGGAGACTGACAAGCTTCATCACGAAGATTGACCAGCACACTTGCAATGCAGCTGGGGGAGAGGGATCATGGAACAAAGCAGCTGTGACCAGCAACATGTGTTTATTCTTGGAGCATTTTTGTGAAGAACACCATGAGCTGATAGCGGGGAACCGTCGTTTGGAATATTTGGATGCTCTCATGCACTTGGATCAATTTTGACATTTACTTTGTAAGGTGCTTCTTTTTTCTGAAGCTATTGTTGCTGGCTTTCTTTAATGTGCGTAGGGTATCGTAGGGTAGTGAGCAGGTTTCTCAAAGCATATACATATGCAGTGTTATGACTGTTATGCTGATTTGTGTTGAAACTGTTGTTTATCTTTCAGAAACATGAAGCAAGATCAAATGACCATGCACCAACATCTTATAAGGCATTTGGCTGCAAAAAGATGAACGATGTGATGCGAAAGGTCTATGCTGGAGATGTTTGGCTGAGACGTGATGAAGCAGCCACTATCGCAAATGGACTTTTGCAATTTATACGTGTGTACTTCCTGCAAGCGCACTTGGCATATGAGGCCAATCAGAGTATGTTCTCATGCATACCGAAGCTGCACGCCATTCACGAGATTTGGGCAGAGATGACAAGACAAATGGAATTGAGCGAGTGGACCCTGAACCCTGCGTGTGAAACATGCAGTGTTGACGAGGACTTCGTTGGCAGGACAGCGCTGCTGTCAAGGCGGGTCAGCCCCCGCCTAGTTTCACAAAGGGCAATACAGCGCTACTTAGCCCAGATCAATGTGATGTGGGCACACCGTTGAGGAAAAAGAGGCTGGACAGGCTGGAAGGGGGCAGGCCATGTGGGAGGAAAACCTGTGGACATAATGCATTTTGGAGGCATATTTGCACTCTGAAAGCCACTGCCATGACGAACGTTAAAAACCGTTCAGGAACGTTAATTCCCGTTCCAGACGATAATGTCCGTGCAAGATGCCAAATAAATACAATTGTGCAAATAGAAGAGTAATTATTGTTCTGCAGGTGCTGCAGGTACCACATACTGGATTGCCAGAATATTCTTGTTGGAGGCAAAGTTTGCACAAGGATTGCCAGGCAATACTTGCAGCTGAAACTGATGTGAAAAACAAGAAATATCCCTGGGTGGATGGTTCGCTTCAAAGATCTTCAAAGCATGCATTTAACAAAGCATTGGAAGTCATGTCTTCAAAGCTTTAGCTGGAGTGAAAGCACATTGAAGGACCTTCTTTCGCCCCAGAATCTGCAGATGTCCAAGTCCAAGCAACCATTGCTGGAGTCTTCCATATTGTTTCTCACTGAGCCACGACCGGCGCAAAGCTGTGCACGCGGCCATGCTGAACATGTCAACGATATGTTGAAGCCCCAAGACTTTGAGCAGCACTGGTATTGAGATGTTTGGAGTGGTTGGAGGGCTTGAAGAGTTCAGCTGAGCAGAATCGTGGGGCTCCACTTCCAACACATACAGTGTCACGGTGGCCCACGTGTGGCACAGGCTGGGTTTAGTCAGCTTCTTGGGCTTTTGAGCTTTGATTGTAATGGAATTATATGAACATAGTACATGACCGCTGCAAGTCCTGTTGCCTTTTCCCACCCCAGGGGCATCTCTCTGTTTTTTTTCACCTGATTCACCTGATGTTCACAGATGTTCTTTTTCTCTTGTGGCCCGTTTTCGCAACCGCTGGCCGCGCCAGTCGGAGCCCGTCCGAGGTACTCTTCGTTGCAGTCGGATCTCAGCACGAAGATCCCGAGGCTGAAAGCCATGCTGAGAACCCTGCAGCGGCAAATGGAGAAAGCCAGGTGAGCTGGGCGGGAAAAGCTGAAAGAAGGATAGATTAGAATCATGATGACTTGAGATCCAGGTTAGGATCACATGTTTTGCCTGAACAATGTATGGTGATGGTCCAGTCGGATGAAGCAGCAGCTTGCACCTCCTACTGTAAGCGTTTTCGATCGAAGATACCAGAGTATAGCTAGCATGTAGCTAGCATGAGCATCTAGGGGTCTTCTGGTGTGGTATGTCGGTATAAAGACTCACTCACTTACTGTACTCACTGTCCCTCGCTCCTCGCCGCTCCACTTCACCTCACCTCACCCTCAGTCTTTCTCAATCTCTCTCTCTCTCTCTCGGCGCCGTCCATGCTTTGCAGGTACGAGCTGGATTCGCTGTGTCTTGACATCAATACCAACAGCAGGCGGGGCAGTTGATATTTTGGGTTGCGTGAGGATTTGCAGTATGTCTTGGCGAGCCTCGGGCAGATTCTTTTTGCATGTAGAAATGACTCTGGGTGATTAGCGCCCTGCAAAGGGTTGTACAAAGGAAATGTTTAAGGGAATGAAGGGGCAATCGTTGTCAATGTGTATCAAAATTAAGGAAATGTTGAAGCTGTCCTGGACCGTTGGACTTCTTCACCTCACCACAAACACTTTGTTTTGTACGCTGATTGCGACGGATGGTCTACTTGAGAATCTTGAGAGCCCGAGTTGAAGCAGAGGGCGTTTCCCCAAAAGCTCCAAAACTTGGCATCGAAGAACAGTGGGAGAGAAGCCACGCTAGATACTCCCCCCATTCGTTTCGGAAAGAGTATGGGAAAGGATTCTGGTGGTGAATGAGGCTTGAATTGACCATAGTCCCTAGCATTGTACATACAACGGTTACGGCTGACAAAGGATTTGTCAAGCAACGCCCGCGAAGTCGAAGCGAATCTTCCCCGCCTTTTTCGGTCAAGCCGAAGCGGCCGCTGCTTCTCCCCGTCCTGGGACAGGTCGGGCCGAACCACTGAATGGAGTCGCGACACGCTGCGCAGCCGAGTGGTGCGCATTGCCCGGCGTGGGCAAGAGCAGCTTCTTTGGAAGGAGGGCTGTGTGGAAGGTCACAGTGCGAAGGTGTCCTGGTAACACCATGTAAGGCCGAGGTGGCGAGCTTTCCAACAACTCAGGCACTGCAAACAGACTACTGTTAAGGAGTCAGACATTCAGACATGTATTCCCCCGAGTTCCGAAGATAGCAGCCACCAGACGTCCTCAATGGTCAAAATCAATCAAAACCCTTTGTGAGTTGCTTTGTGAACTTGGGAGGGTAGGGGTGTCATGGGGTGTCTATACTTTATGTATTTTTGGTTGAAGACCATTATATCCTGCAGATTGTCCCATTGTTTTCGTGCAGATATTCTCAAGACTCGCCAAAACTGGCATCATTGTTTGTACAGATCGGGTCTTATGAGCGGGACAGGAAGAGATTGGGGCATTGCCATCAGGTTTAATCTGGCACCTCCGGTTCAACCAGTTCAAAGTTTGTGCAGGGCAGTCGGTCCATCAAGCTTAGGACTGGATATAGCATTATACGTTTGGCATTTCAATGGATACAGGTTCAGTTCAGTTCTTTCTCCTTGCACTTAGTTGAATTGAACTCAAGATGTTAACACTCCAATCAGCTGTGCAGGCTTCAGAGAAAGTTTTGGAGAACAGGGACCGTCGACCAGATCAACGGCACGGAGACTGTTTGGGAGAAAGCGGTTTGGAGGGGTGTTAATGGATGTGTGACCACACTCAACTCTAATGGCTTTTTTGTTGTTGCTGTGGTTTAACCGCAAGAAAACACTCCACCTCACAGGCCAGGTATCCAAGTCTTCTGAAAAAAGGTCGATGATGGGCCTTGGGCAAAAACCGTGCCCCAGGCATTTTCAGAATCATCCTTTCTTTAAGTGGACTGACGCCCACGAGATGAAGGCGCGAGTTTGTTGGTTTGTTTGCTTTTTTTGGGGGGGTGGCGGCGAATGACAAATTGGTTTGGTGGGGAGTTGCAGTGTTTGTTTTGACAAAACGTAACATGACAACACTTTTTGGTTCGCTTGGTGTGGCATCTCCCTTTGATGCAGAGATGCATTCCAAGTCAGCTTGAGTTCTTGTCAAAGAGCATTGAACGTTATGGCGGGTAGCCTTGACGGAGAGCACACCCAAGCGTGTACCCTTTCAGTGCATCCCCATGCCAGTCACCCCGGCTAATTGTAGATACAGTATATGTTAGGGATGCTCTACCACAGACCGCCGCTGTTCCGTTCGGACGTGTATGCGAGCGTTCGCAACGACCTGCAGATGGTGAACGTTGGTAGAGTTTCAGGACCTATTACGTTTGATCATGTTTGATAGCATTATATAGGGACTTGGAAGCATCATCCAGCCATGATTCTTGGAAGACCAAAAGCATGGAGGTGTCACCAGAATCGATGCAACCGGCAAGGCGGTGCTTGGTCAGGCAGGCATTCTGGAGGAGACCTGCCGGAGGCCCTAGAAAAAGCTAGAAAATAGTAGGACTCGATTGTCAGCGCCTGCAAGTAGATACACCTGATTCTGATAGGTTTTCAGTATGAGCCGTGCAAAGTGTCTGTGTTCCAGGATTCCACTAGTGTGAGTACGGAGTACTCCATGCACCCCCAAAATCAGATGGGGTACTACAGATGTTTGCCTTCAACAGGCTTCCAAACATCCAAATGTTCGAAGCGGCTACCTAAGGCGCAAGGCCTCCGGAACGGGAGGCAGAGGAGCCGGAGGACGGCCGCCGGCGGCAGTTCCGGGAGCCAGGCAGATGGGGCAGGGAGAGGTGGAAGAGCTGGCAGTTGGGAGAAGAGCTTTTACTGAGAATGGGGAAGAGGGTGTGCCTGAAAGTGAATAATTCTGAATCCAAGCAGATCCAGTGCATGACAGCACCCTGAGGTTACACGAATTGAACAGCAGTTGAGAGGTAGTTGAGTGTTGAATATCGTTGGATTGGGTAGACGTGTCATTGGAGATGCAACACGGCAGAGTTGACACCAGTTGGCACATATATGTTTTGGCGTTGTTCTGGAACCACTGTATGTGTTTGGGGCAATCGACACACTTCTGTCAGTCAATCGCCTCAAGAGCCAAGGTTCTGCATCCAGCACCTGCGCTCGAGTGATCTTTGCAGGACGCAAAAGGAATGAAGGATATCATCAATTCGTCGAACCTTTAAGAGCTTCGCTAGCTCTGAATCTCGGAAGGATTGCAGCATATTACATATGATACTACTGTACAAGCATCAGTTTATGGACGAGACAAGATTGGGACCTTTTTTGGCTGGATACTGAAGGTTCCGTTCTTTCTGACCCTCCTAGACAATCTAACCTGATGCTCCACAGGTACAGGCATTGTCACTATATATGCTAACATGCTAGCTGCTAGCTTTTACTATTTTAGAGTTCTTCAGGCATTCAGCCATTCATGAAAGCAAGAAGTTTCAACCTCTAATTACAAGATCTTTGCTGTGTCCCACATTGTCCCACTCTCGATACTGCGAACATCCTCCGCTGTTGCAGTTCACCACGGCAGGACGCCATGGCTACCCACCCGTCCAGCTTTGGTTCCCTGAGGCCAGTGGGCTCGTCTCGCCGGCGGGGGGTCGTCTCGTTTGGGCTTGTGGTCCCACGCGTAAAATCCCACGAGGCCTCGGATTTTGTTTGGGTGTTTGGTGAGTTCTGGACCAACGGTGACAAGGCCAAGAAGAATCATGTGGGGTGACTGAGGTGATATCGAAACACTTGGATTATGAAGGTGAACATGATGTTTCTGAAAGGTTTTGGCTCGTTTGCTTTATGATTCATGATGCTAATAGTTGTCCCGGTCTTCTACTTGATTTTACATAGGGTTGTGCTTCTTGGAATTTCAGGGCAGGCCACCCATGATGTCCAAGAATCCTGGTATATATTTTCGAGCCCATGCAACTATATACATCTCAGGACAGATCCGCAGCAGAGCTCGGGGATTGAATTGGAGTCTGTCTCCTCACCTGGTGGTTACCAACACCCAGCCGGATGGAATCTATATAACTAAGCTCTACGACTACGAGGAAAAATGACAAAGCGCTGCGTACAGCGCAGTGCGTACATACCTTTCTGATCCTTTCAGAAGACCCTTGAAACCTGGCTTGAACTTTGACCCTCTAAACACCACCCCTTTCTCCAGATTGCCCCTCCTTTTTCTCCATCCCTACAAAATTAAAACCTCTTTTCGCGCAGAGCAGCGCCAAGTCGCTGCTTCATCGCTGCTTCTTTCGTGGATCACCAGGAGGCCCTGGAGGACGTGACACCTCATCCTCGCCTCCGGGAGCTCTTGACCACCTTCGAAAAGGCGGAGATCGCTCCTCGGTGGCGGTCGGTGGCGGGTGAACAACGGGGTGCAAAGAACGGAGCACTGCCGCATGCAACCTTCCAGGGCACCATGGCATACCATGGCACCATGTTTCTTTTTCCAGAATTTGGAAGAGTTGGAAGATGAAGGGCTGGAAAAGATTCTCAGGATGGGCAAGTTCATTTCATATATAAGGTATAACCCAGCCGTGTTGTAATTTGCTTCGCATGTCCATTTTGCCACTGTAAAATGATAAGGATGAAAAAAACAATAACCCTGCACAAGTCCCCGGACAGGGACAACCCTTCATATATGTGTTTCATCTCAGGCTTGTCTCCCCCACACCCAGAGCGAGGAGTGTTGTGTTACAGAATTATTGTTTGGGCATAGAAATCGATGTTTGCACCAGGCATGAAAACAACAAAAACAACACGATAACACAGTGAGCCTAAAACACCATCCTGCAGCCTGCAGACTCATAATTACACACAATTAATGGCACACATGTACCAGCTGTTCTAGTTTGGAGCCAACTGCGCACGGCACAGATGCATGATGATGCATGCATTGCACTACAAATGTTGCAGCCAGTCAAAGCACCACAAAACAAGAAGGGGATATACACGATAACGTTAATTAACGCCACAGCTCTTGAATGTTTGTGACAGCGCTTTTTTAATGACACACACACACACCACCCAAACGCTGAATGGCTTAGTGGTGATGTCCACTTCTTTGGACACCCATGGGCGGTGACTTGTCGATGCCGCATGGGCTCGGAGCGAGTCGCCCCCGAGGCTTTCCAGCAGAAGCAAGCGCAACTGGATGCGACGGTGAAAGCCTTTGCGGCGCAACAACAGCAGTGGATGGACTAAACGTCTTCACTCCGTGCGTTTTCAAACGGCACGGGTTGCAAGTTCCACACACTGAACAGTCGGAACGCAGGAGTAGATCGATCGTCGAACAGTGGGGCAATTGGTGGGATAGTGGTAGGAGTCAGAGACATCTTGTGAAAATCCAAGAAAAACAACCTGTTCTGTGGCAGTGTCATTGTTCAGTCATGCCCGCATGCCCCTTTTTGTTCCAAGCTTTCGCTTATATACATGATTTAGATTTCCTGCTCATTTGGAGTTGCTGCAGTTGATACTTGATTTGAATTTGGTCGAGACAGTCTTCCCACAGCCAAGCACCAACACAATGAACTCCATCAGTGATGTCAATCTGTGACATTCTGTGGGAGGTTCTCTTTGCTTGCTTAACTTAACTGTATGTCCAGAACCTTTTAATCTGAAGCTTGTAGACCCGCGTGGTCTTCACAGGTTTCCTGTGCCGACGGGGCTGATGGTGCCATCCAGCTCTTGAGTGGCTGGATGATACCCAATACCATCCCGCAACTCTTTTGTCCCACTTGTACAGTTAGAGGGCATGACTTGCGCAAAAAGAGTTGGCTATCACGTTCGTGCGTCCGAGTAGACATGCGGAGTAGTCCATTTGAACCTCAAAGAAGGATGTATGACATATGGATTGTATTGGAGAATATGTGCCGCAAACCACCCCAGATTCGTGAGAGGGTGGCCAGATGTGGTTGTAAATCCTGTTGCCTCCAGATGCCTCCAGTGGACGCAGGATTTCTTCCCAGTGATTGAAGAGTTTTGTAGCGACCAATCTTCACCCGAAAGTTTTGGACGTTCTTCGACAAGTCCATCTCCACATTGGACGTCATGTCCATGCGCAGCTGAGTGTTCGAGTCGTAGACGGCCTTTTACTGATGTTTGTTACCAGGAGACCCGAGGGTGGTGGGATGCCAAGCTGTTTGAACAAGCCACCCCAACCAGGGTCCACACACCATCCCTGGAGTCTCCTGGGTCGTGTTTTGGACGGCGCAAAACCTTTCGAGGTCAGCTTCGTGCGGTTTGTTTCACCCAAACTGCGGGAAACTGCGGAGCGATCCCGATTGGCAGGATCCCTCGATCGTCCCTGATCCATATCTCCAATAGTTTATCATTATATATCTACAGTATTTGGCATGTCCATTCCCCAAAACAACCCAAGCAAGAATCCTGAAAATCACTTCAACACCCAAGTGAAAAAGGAGGTCATGCCTTTTTCTCCCAAACATCGAGGCGGATCAGGCTCTTCCGAGAGATGGTGCAGAAGGCGGTAGGCCTTTGGCAGGACTGGGCGATAGGCCTTTGGCCAAGCTGGGCGGATTCGCTGGGCTTGGCTTGGGGAGTTTGTTTAGAGCCTTGGCATGGTCTTACAGGTTGTGGACCGGCTGTTCTGGTCGGCTGGGATGCAAGCGGTGTGTTGATTCACGGTGTCCTGTCCTGTGGGTGGTTCGATTCACGGCATGTGTTCTTCCCGATCGGACAGGTCTATATGAAGCGCTAAGCCACGGGCCATGAAGAATCATGCAGATTTAGATGCAACACATTTCTATGAAGGGCTATGCTGTGCTTCCCATATATAGTTACTAATGATACCATCCGCCATTACCTTCAATTCGACACCTTGAATATATAACTAAAAGCCTTGCGACCAAAAGTCACCCGCTCTCCGCCCAACGGCCTGTCGTCCCAAAGCTGCGTTGTTGTTTTGGGTGCCTTTGAAGGCTTGCTATGATGATACCTCGCCGTGATGGCGTCAACTTGGTCCCCCCAATCTCCATGGACAGTGATCACAGTGGGTATTCCAATGGCTTTTCCAGCAATTTATCAGGTGGTGCCACCACCTGTGCCTACCCGACATTGGATCCCGGATCACTGCGAGGAGAGACTGCTTGATGATACTCCGAGCCCGAAGACTCAGCTGCTGAGGGGTAGACTCCGCCGATCCAAGCAGAAACTCGCGCAGGTGTTCTTTTTTTAAAGGGACGGGAGGGCGGGAGGGACATGAGGAGCCTATGGGGTGATTGGTCATGAACGACATGGAACGTGGATGAACATGGAAGCCTTCAGTTTCCCCCCGAGGATCTGTGGTCATGAAACTGGAACCGAACGCCAGGCGCTTTGAAGGTTTGACAGGTACCAAACCCTCCCCCTTGAGAGCTGTTGATGTTGATTCACCAGAAGAACATGTTTTTGTTGTGTGTTCTTGTTCAGGGTATCAAGCACGGCAGCAGGTCGCTCCTCAGACTGGTAACTCACTGCCGACTGCCGGCCAGGTCTAACTCGCAGTGCCTGCACCTCAGCTCTTCGGGCCCCAGATCGATTGCTGACGACGCTGTTTTCTGAGCGGCTTGGGTCACAAGATTGGTCGATGATCCCAATCCCAATGACTCAAACCCAATAGACACCCGTTTCGGGTATGTTGCAACCATTCACATTAAGGTAAGATAAGGCAAGGTAAGGTCTACTTTCCCGCAACATGTGTTTAAGCTGGAAACTATTTGATGCAACATGCTTATACCCAGACTTTGCATGTATAACCATATTTGCCTGCCTTGGGGGTGGTTTGGGGGTCATTGTAGGCATAGATTCTATACATGGAGTGATTGGGATCGTGAATCCAAACAGAATATGAGACAACAAACAGTTCTTCCCTGCAATGGTCAGAATCAGCACTTCTGCATGCACATAGTTATAGTTATAGTTTCCTGTGTCTCATGCAGTGTATGCGAACAGTTACAATCGTTGACGAAAGTCTGAGGATGTTGCGTGCGTGTTTGCTCTTTTTGCAGCCCAGTGGACTCAGGAACCCGTCTTCCTTAGAAAGTTAGACCCAGTCATTTGTCCGTATTTCAGGAGGTTCTATACACCGATCTAAATCGGAGAATTTCAGGAATCGATTCACAAGACATCGACAGATTTCCTTGAACCTCCTTGGAGCTGAGCACGTTCTTTTTGAACTTTCCATTCCGGTCGCAGATATGGTCCCAAATGGATGAAATTGTTTGGGTTCAGTTTTCTTTGGTTGAAGCCACAACAAATGCGCTGCCCCTCCTCCAAAATTAGAGCTGGCCACCGCCAAAGTGAGCAATGCCCAACCTCGAAGAGGGAGCAGACCTGGAGACCAGGCACTTGTTGCCCACACCGCTGGGAAATGCTGTTGAAAAAGACTCCGAGGGCAATGAAGGAACGAGCCAAGAGCGATTCGAGCGCGTCACGAGCAGTTTTCGTGACTTCAGTCTTCAGCGCTGCTGTCAATGCTTGTTGGGGCCGGTCTTTGGATGGCTTGGTTTCAGCTTTTTAGACACTTGGTGGCCTCAGAGACATCTCAGCCCGGCAGAATGGGCTCTCTATCATCGGCAGCAGAAGCATAAGAAGGATGTGGCATGCATTGCACGAGCCATGACGGGAATTCCCGTCTCACCGGAGCTGCTGCGATCTGCCATGCTTTCTTTTGCTGGAAGCGATCAGAGTGTCGATTTGTCCTTCGCGGAGCTGAATGCCATGTTCTACTTTGCTGGATGCCACAACGACGCGAAGTCTGCGTTTCTCGCGTTCGTGCGAACTCTGCGGTCACCAACGGAAATGCAGGGGGTCTCCGATTCTTGCAGGCGGTTGAAGGCTGTTTTCTACTCTATTGGGAGTTTTTTTGTAAAACAATACGGGTTTCTTTGAGCTGTTCACTTTCAATTGCAATCCTGTGGTTTTCTCTTGAAAGATCAGAACACTAAATGGTAGATGTTGCCTTACTTCACAATGTCAAAGAGTGAATATTGTAATATATTGCAATATATATATATACACAACATAAATGGATGTGGGTATATATGTATAACATACTATACTATTACTATTAAAGGCATCAATCCGAGCACTTCTTCCTCACTTTGCCCTTTCGAAAAGTCCAGGATCGTGTGGCTCTGGAAGATCTGCTCGAAGCCTTTGCTCGGTGGCCTTCGCACCGCTCGGCGGTGGCCTCTGCAGGCGCCTGAGGTCGCCAGATCCGGCCTGGTCTCCGACGTGTTCGTCTTGTGTCGCAGATGACTGGCTTCTTTGGTGATGGTGTAAGTGTGGCCCAGTTGAGAATGAGGGTCCCTTTTGATTCTACCTTTGTGCCTGGTCAGGATTGCAGGCAAGAAGTCACAAGCTCTCAGCACTCGGAATATGTCCATGGAGTTGCCTTCTGAACAGCTTGGCCTGGATGGTGACCACATCTGGAGATATAGATCTCGTCGCGGTGTTGGACAAACATCTGTGACGGGCAGAAAGGGCGATGATCAAAGACTTTGGAGTGCTGAGCATGTCATCCTGGGATATTTGGGTATATATAGATGTTTCTTTCACCCAAAAAGAATCCGAAGAGAGAATGATCAACGATTCCCAAAAGATGCTTAACAGAGTCATAGGTTTGAGGTCTAATGTGATCATTTTGATTTGCTGTCATTCACTTGAGAGATGCACAAGCTGCAGAGTCTTAATGAGCTTGGCTACCATTGTTTAAGTTTAAGAACTAAATCTGCATTGACTTGCCAAGTGAATGGAGATGACAAGGGTGAAGCAGAACCATTCACTAATCATTCCATTTACTCCAGACTCTTTCAGAATGTGCGTGGCATGACCTGGAAGAATCAGATTCCAACTCATTTGTGTGGAGTTAACCTTCCCAAATGAATTTCAGTATGGCGTCTCACGTTTTTTGTCATGATGGATTTGTTTGCTCTCAACGGAGTGATTTTTTGAAGAAAAACTGCTAAACATCGGAACTTTGCTACTAGGAGCAAGTGCCTTACTAGTAGTAACAAGTGCATCGCTAGTAGTAACAAGTGCCTTACTAGTAGTAACAAGAAGCTATTAGGAACAAGCGCATGTTAACTTGAAGCAACACAAATCCCGGATGAATAACCCAGTTCTTGTAGGATCGTGGACCATAGCCATCCTCTATATGTTTGTTTCCATGATTGAAGAAACGGGTTTCTGGAAAACGGGATTGTGGCGGGGGCTAAACGTTTGTCTATAGGTCTCGGGAGTCCTTGTCCTGGTGCAATGCTAGGCCACAGCAGACTGCGAAGGCCGCCCAGTAGAGAAGGACAGAAGAAGCGGCGAAATGGAAAGCATTTGGATCGTGTGGATTGACATAGTGAGTCCTCCAACCAATATGTGGTTGTATGTTTTGGTCAAGTTTTCGTTCTTCCAAGGGGTGTTTGGGAGGTCTACACATACCCATATGATGAACGACCTTCGATCCGGAGACCGTGTCCGGAGTTGAAGCTGGCTACTGCAATGAGTAAAGAATCCGTCCATGCCATGTCAAGGGAATGCTGCCTGGGCAGTTGTTTAGCTTAGATTGCCCAGATGCTTTTTACACAGTTGTGCTGCGGTTGTGCTACAGTCTCAGTGTGTTTCATAATACACGTTTCAGCTTTTTGCTGCTTCGCAGGAGAACAGCAGAAAGTGTTCACTTGGGTACTTCGGGTTGCTTGTATCTTCAACATGTTTTTGACTTGATATGTGCGAGTCGAAACTGCAGAGGAACTTGTTGGCGTTTGTCAGGGATATTTCAGAAAAGACACAAGTAGCTCAGCTAGCTATGTCATCTAGTCAATCCCTTCTATGTGAGTTTGTTTTTTGCTTTTGTTGCAGGACAAGCCACCTCCCAGACATAGCTGGGACGGCAGGAGGGATTTGCATCGGGGCCGAGTCAGAGCAGACTGGCGTGTGTCCCAACAGCAAGTGCTGGCAGTGCAACCAACAGGTTTACAATGGTTTACACATGCATACTCTAGTTGGGGCTGAGGTACAAGCAGGCCTTTTGTTTGTATCAGTGAAATGAAGTTTACGAAAGCCAGCCTTCGTAGAAGGCGCTAGCGGAGTTGTGTTTGGCGAACGAAGTGAGTAGTTAGGGGGTCTGGGGGGGGGTGGCCCGGGAAAGGTACACGTAAACTCGGCACATGCCGAGGGAAGGTTCTTTGAGGTTGTGTTGGAGGTGATCTTTGAGGGGTGGTGATGCAAGAAATGCAATCTGCATCATTTGCATCATCTGAATGGACAGGTGTAGTTGGCACCTTGCCAGGTATAGAGACCCAGGTAGCTATAGTGCAGCTACCAGGTATAGTACTTCAAGTTCCCTTTCCGTGCTCGATAACCTCTACGCACGCACAGCAATCCACAGCTTTGAAGTCTCATTCGTGCTTTGAACTTGTA